TCGGAAGCTGCACGGGCTGCAGCAGATAAACAGTAACAATTAGTCAACACAGTGTTTGAAGCTGAATCAATGCTTCATTCCACGCAAGTGATCTTTTGAACAACTCAGCTAATGCGCTGGCAGTCAATAAAGTAACTGATTATAGCAAGGGATTGCTTCTATATGAAAATGATGTAATGCTGGGATTAAGTCCAACTCCTTTTCAGGCTCCAAAGCAAACAGAGATGCCTTTCAGTGATTTTTCATCTGGCCTCACTTTTTTATGTTGGCCAGTGGGTGAATCAAGGTGCCCATTCGACACCACCAAGAGTCTGAAATCTGCTTCCTCCTTTTCTTTAGGAAAGAGAAAGAAGGAGGTACAAACTGCTTTCAAAACAGCTCCTCCTTGTAGATTTTAGGAATTCCATATGGTCAAAGTTCCTGTCTGCAAATTTCAGGCTGCTCTTTACTAGCCATAAATTTTGCCTGCAAGGGTTTGAATATTTATCTAGTCTGAGAATGCACCACATGGTGGGTTTTTAATCTGGTGGCTCCGTTGGAGGCTGCTGGTTACTGTAGGATGCTTCGCTAATCACTGGTTCTCTCATTCCCAGGGCATGTCCGTGCTGTAAAGACTGCTATGGCTGGCAGTCGGTACATAGCTGGCAGCATGGGCGTGCTAGTTTGCTGTTAAGTAACTCTGAAGTATTTATTCAGCTTATGTTATGAAGTCTACGTGGAGTGGCTGTACAGTATGATTGAAACAGAGCTAGTTAGTCTGAAACTCCTCTGGGTGACTGCCAGGTGGATGAACCAGAGCGCTCAGCCAGCCTCCACTGCCTAGCGTTCCTGCAGAGGACCTGGGAGAGGAGCGATGGATGGCCTGGTCGCCTGCGTCCCAGCAGACAGCCTGCACCACAGCACCCTGTGAAAGGATGGCATCGGGATGAAGTCAGGAAAGCTGGAAAGCTGCTGCTGTCCTGCCTTGTGCAGCAACACCTCAAAGCCCCGCTGATGGCCTGAAGCTTCCTGTCTTCCCCGACCAGCAAGGCTGGGTTTACACCAGTGCATCAGGGCTGAAGTTTCAAATCCTCTGTGCCTCCACTTTAAAACCACAGGACTGGCTTGGAGTTGTCAATACCAGCTCTGATGGGCCCCCTTTGCTGACAAACTGGGTAGAGCACTCCTTTACCTATGCTTCCCAGTAAGACAGGATCAAATCCAAATTTGCCAGGGGACAGCTATCAAAGCCCACAGACTTGCAAGCTGGAAGATTTTGCAACCTGGTGAGGACCGAGTCTGTCCTTGCTGCGCCCCTGATCCACCCTGCCTGGTCCAAAGGAGCGATTTGGAATCACATGGAGAGGCCACAGGAATTTATAGCCGAGCTCACCACTGCCAAAACGACTCTTAGGCTGGCTAGTCTTTAGCGCTGGCAAACCCTACACCAGAAACAGATGGCTGGCAGAGCATCTAGGTGTCTGTGTGTGAATGTGCAGGGCTGCCTGGGTGCGAGTATCCTCCATGGTGCTGTCCCTCAGCATCTCCTGCACTAGGAACATCTAAACCTGTTGGATATAGCCAGCTGGCCTCAGTCTGCGTGTCATGTCAAGGAGGTGACGTGCCATATCTCAGAGCACTGTGTCAAAAGACAGGTACTTTCCTCACACTAGCTGTCAGCCATCAGACATATCGTACGCTGGGCAGTCTTCCTGGCATGTGAGCATGTGTATGAACATGCCTGCTAAGCGACCGAGCGCACAGGCCATGCATCCATCACAAAAGCGGTCCTGTCTTTGGGCAGCAAAGGGTTGAAATGCTCTCGCTGTGGGTGTTGTTGCAAGCCAGAGAGTTGCCAAGAACTATGGCCTAGGTTGGATAAAGGAAATGATGAACAAATTATTAAACCCACATTATCAAATACCTACTTCAGAGGAACGGCGGTGTTTATGAGTAATCAAGAAGCCCTCTCATTCCGATACTGGTGAGAAGTCTCCAAGCTAATGGCAAGGACTGGATCCAAGCTCATCAAAACCAGCCCTGACTTCCCAGGTGGGGGATTCTGGCCACACAGTTTGCACGTGTAGAAACTTCCCATCATTTCAGCGCAACACATCTGATCCTTTTCTTTTGCAGCACTGTCTGACAGACACAGGTTTCATTTTGAAAAAGATTTCCTGTGGAATTGCTCCTTTTCCTAGCTGTTTTTCTTGCAAGGAAAGCAAACTGTTCACACTGGCTCAGGACTGTCTGCGTCAAAGGCACTGACAGCTGCAGCCAACACTGGCAGATACTTCCATGCTGCCGTCCCCATCAATTCAGCACTGACCTTCCCACTCGATTTCCAATCACCCCAACACAGTAATGGGTTTTATGAGATAATACTTGATGTTTTCTGACCTGGGAGAAGCCACCAGCCTCAAGGTAGCCTGAATCATGCAGCTTTGCATCCTAATGTTTGGACATGCATTTAAATGTCTCAGAAGAACAGTGGCAGAGAAGAACAGAGGGAGATTGGCCGGGATCAAATAGGGCTTAGAGTCTCCTTATTTTGTGAGGTGCAAATTTTGCAACCTTTCGCTTTTCTTTTTGACTAATTGGTCTCCCAAGGCACAGTTGTAGATTGTGACAGTTCAAGTTAACTGCAATATTGCCTCATTTCTTCCCAGTCCCTTGCACAGAAACCTCTAAATGTTGTAAAGCCAGCCTTCCTAATGCCCAGCTCTCATAAAAATCACTTTGCACATCCACAAAGGAGAAAGTGAGGTATGACAGACTAAAATCAGCATCCAAATCATGGGTAATGTCTATAGCCAGATGGGAGATGATTCAGAAATCTCAAAGCTGAACCCAGTGCTTGAAAGCTACATTCTTCTCCCTACTTTAAATCTGAAGTAGGGAAACAACCCCCACATTTTTTGCTGAATAGGGGAGGGGGAAACCCTGCCTAATTCTGCCATTTCAGCTGTGTAAACTAATGAATGTCATTTTAGTGTTTTACAGTGAGTTGTCATATTGGTTTTGCCTGTACTGTTGGGAGTGACATCACCAGGTAGTTACATCACTACTGTAAAGGAATAAACATAAATTACTCATTTAAGTCTAAAAGTGATTAAAAACATCAAAAGGGTCACACAGTTATTCAAAGGCGACAATCAGGCTCACAGTTTTGTTTACATGAAGGAAAAGAAGTATTCTAAGAGCAGTCTACCCTCACAGAAAGTCTGAGAAGCACTTCATAGCTACACAGGAAAGTGCCCAAACATTTGCAAGTCCTACAGGGGTCAGCAGGAGAGAAACAGGTATTTTAGCAGCTACAAGCCTGGGTGCATTTTCAGCCAGCTTCTCTTTCACATGAAATTATACCTGCACCCAAGTCAGGGATCCTTTATAGCACAGCAGAATCATAAAGAGCTTAATTTACTTTGAGGCTGGATCATATAACACCTATATGGGCTAATTGCTATTGGTGATGCTGACAGGACACAGAACTGCATGTCTAAGATAGACATCACCAAAAAGGGATGGGGCCTCTGTTGGCTGCAATAATATGAAATGCTGCTAACTGTATCGGCTTTGGTTAAACTGCTCTGGATTCTCCCTAGCGTAAATGGAAGTGGCATCTTTCATGTAAATAATCTTAGCTTGTCAAGTCAAAAAGATTATTTATAGAATAAGCATTCTGCCAACGCTGACTTCCATGGGAAAATTGCCAGGCATTAGCAATCTGTATGTTATGCCCTTTTCTCCCAGAAATCAGCATCATACTCAGCAACAATATTTTAGCAACCCTTCCCCCTTAAGGAATAAAATATTCAACCTTTTTATTCACAAAACTTCATTGGTCTGCATTCAACGGAAAACCTTACAGGAAGCCAGATGTTACAGAACTATGATTCTCCACCAAAAAATTACACTGTTGTTTCATGTGCAGTTGAGTTTCTCGAAGCCTTCACAATGCCACACAGTTACTTACGCTTTGGGCCAAATATATTCCTGAAGCAACTCCAATCTCCTTTGTCGATTTATATCAGAGGCGTGCAAACTGACCACATAAGGCATTAATATAACTGACGTTTTTCACAATGAGGTAAATATGGACAGAGGCTCAGAGAGGTGTTGAATCTCCTCCCTTGGATTGGGAACAGCCCTGGGCAAGCGGGTGTAACCCTCTAAATTGCAAGGCGTTAGGGGATGTCTTATGGCTACCACAGGCCATCATGTTCACCATGTTGTATACCTTTAACACAGTAAATTCGCAAAGCTCAGGCGCAGCTCTCACACTCCCTTCCCAGCTGCATGTCCCCGTGTGTCTGCTGGGTGCTTAGAGCTGAGCACAACACACGAGCATGTGTTGGTCACCAGCGCTCGGCTAGGTACCTCTAAAGATAGCTGGGGATAATTGGTAGCTCTGTAGCATCCTGCTGCCATAGACAGTATCATTCCTGTGAAGTGACAGAAGTCCTTTCTCTACAATGGCTTCTGTTTCCACCCATAAACACAATCATGTACAGAAACTTGCACGAACCTAGTTTTTACTAGAAATACATGGGAATCCTTCGTCCTTCTCACACAACAATCCAAACCTCCTTCTGCAAACTTTGCTTTGTAAGAGTGCCCACAAAGTTTAAATTTCTGTAGCTAAATACATATATTTATTTGTACATTCAGGCTTTTATTACAGAACATAAGATTTTAATGAACGAAAATATGCAGAAATATTCCTTACTATTCATTAGAATTAATAATGTAAAAGCAGTTATATTACCTAAGAGCAAGACAGTACTGGGAACTTCAATGGGTATTTCTGTCACTACTCCCGGAGAGTTTTCATACGTGAAATTGTATCAGCCAAACTGCACGAACTGCAGTTGCAAACAAAGCTGACAGACATGACTGAATTTTAGTTTCTAAGCCGTCATGAGTATCTGCCTTCAGTCCCACATGTAAAGGCAGCCAGAAACTTTGGAAGGATTTTTTTTTTCCCCTAGCTGTAAAAAAAAAGTTCTGAGGCACAGTACCTTGTCTCCTGGCTGTGGGCGCATCACAGACACACGGTCGTAACCTTTCCGCAGCAAGACCCAGAGAGCGTCCAATTTCCCCTGCAATCAAAAGAAACACAGTGTTATCATCTGTGCAAGGACAACTGCGCCGTGCAAAGTGAGGTACAGGGATAATGCAGCTTAGACCTACACATTTTTTACTTAACCATTTGCTGTGCTTGTACAAGATGCTGGAGAGCAATGTTTTCCCTCACAGAATCTTGCTCTGCACTCGCTGCAAGTGCAGAGGAAGAGGCTTTAATGTAAAACATAAGCAGGTATGTCTGACAGTCAACAGTACCCGTGTGTCTAGCCTTCACGTGTCCTTTTGAAAATCTCCAAAGGTAATGGGTTACTTAGATCTCTCTTGGGCTGAGAGACAGTTGAAGACATACTCAGCTCCTGACATCGTTGCTAGCAAAACACTGAATCAATGCAGAAAGCAATCAGATGAAGCTACACAATGCACTTCGTAACTATTCTGCCTCCTCCTCTGGATGGTTGAGTGGCTTGCCTCTAGCTCTAGGTGACCTATGTGACATATCAGAAATAATTTTGATTTATGTGTCAGAACAATCTGCTGGGGAGAACTGACCGAAAAACTGTCTCTCCGCGCAGCCGAGTCACAGCTGGGTGCTGTGTGACAACCTACTCCATCTTCCATGTCAGCTACACGCTACCAAGAAAGCATCAGGTTACAGGGTCTCATAGAACCTCCCCAGACCCACCCCACATGCCAGTTAATATTTGTATCTTATCCAGGCAGTAACACACATCTTTCAAAGTTCTCCATTCCTATGATCTCAACGTCACCTGCCCTCCTCAACACATTGCACTGGTTTTGACAAGCTGTTCACCTCATTGTGTGGCCTCATACCCAACAGCCCGTACCCAAATGCACGTGTGCACAGAACAGACCCAGACAAGTTTTTCTCAAAACCCAACACGTTGAAATCTCTTGTTGACAGAAAGTTTGGTTGAGATGTGGGGTCTGACCCTCCCTGCCATTCCTGCAATGCTTCTCTGCAATGCAGACAAAGCGTTCGTTCCTGATTGAAATTCAGCAGCAAGACAAAATGCCAACCCTGCAGTTATTTTCCAAATGAGCTGAACAAGGCCAGAAGGAGCAGCACAGGGCTCTGCAATATAGAAATATCCACTGAATCATCTATTCCGAAACATACAGAATCCTGCT